CTTTAGAGTCGGTTTTCACCCGTTGTGCCAATATGATGTATCAATAAAATTGTTCTTTGAGGAATCTACCTGCCTTGGAGTTCTGTTTTCTATGGGTGCATTATTTGGAATGCTCGCACTGATCTTCAAAACAAGAGAGCAAAGGTCCACCTAGTTGAATGGGGGATAACTAGCCCATTCCTGATCTGTAGGGTAGACCAAAAAAGAAGAAACTCTACTTTTGTCCCAAACCAAAATGGATAATCTCATATAGTGGGATGAAGCTCATATGAAAGGACTTTTTATGCCCAGCAGCAGGAAACCTTTTCAGAGGAAATGCTTCCACTCCCATTTCTACTTTGACTATATTTCTGGCAGAACAGCATCACCAATGCATACTTGCATGGATATTTCTCAGGGTGGAAATTGTGTCGGTGTGGTGTCTGTGAGTCCCAACGTTGGCAGGGGACGCCCGATGTAGTGACATTCACCTTGCCTCGATAGTCTTCTCCTTTCAGCCGGAAGCAGCTGGTTGTAATAGACAGATGTGGATGTTTCTCTGTTTCCAAAAGGGAGAATCCATGGAAATCAAATCACAAAGTGTATCACAAATCCTTCATAGCAGAATGAAAAAAAGGATACTACATTCATTCCTAAACTTACATCAAAGAGGCGGAAAAAAATGTTTTGGGGATCCCATCTGGGTTGGTCCCATTCTGCTAGAGATGAGTTCCAGCAAGAGTCCAAAAGCTCGGAAGACTAAACCTTCGGCCCCAGTGACCAACCCAGATTGGATCCTGCAACATTTTCCTGGGACACGTATATTCGCCTTCACTCATAATAATGTTTTAACTTATTCAAGATTCAAAACTGCATCTAAAATTTAAAAATTTAAAATTTTGTTCTGCAAAATTTTAAAAACTGCAAAATTTACATTCCAGTTTTCATTAAGTGCAATCTACAATTACAAAATGGATGGAAGCGGCGTTTTCAACTTCGGCAACTTTAAGATGCATGGACTTCAACTCCCAGAATTCCAATGCTGGCTGGGTTGCGGAGGTTGAGAAGCACTGGATTAGAGACCACACTGACTCAGAAGAAAGAAACAAAAAACAAAAAAACCAACTCTGCATACATTGTTGAGCACATCATTCCCATCCACCTTTTTTTCCTATTTATCTGGTGTCCTGCCTTATGTTTCTATTGTGTTACTGTTATGCACATAAAAGCGTTAAGGTTGGAATAAATAAAGTTTGCTTCCTTTGGGGCTGCCTTACAGTATTGTTTTCAGAGGCTCTGGAAAGTTCTGTACCTTTTGAGATAGATAACAGAGATTGTTGCTACTAAAGGCCTCTATCTTTTTATCTCTAGACTGCTGTTTATAGCTCTCTCTGTGTGTTTATGTCTGTCTTTTATCCCATTGGCTAGTTAACCGTGTTTAGGTTGTTGTAGATGTATTAATATGTACGTTTCAAGCTATAGTTTTTGTTCAGTGAACTGAGCTTGCTCTGATCTGGATATAGGGACTAACTAGGATGCAAACTGAACTAGAAAGTAATTACATTAATTTAACCACCCTGAGGACTTTCACAGTGCATTTTATATATTAAGAGACAAATTTTGTGCATCATAAGAAGATTGTTTTTTTCTTTATTACATGTAGCTTTTGTAAATGCATTAAAAGATCAGATTTGTCTCCACATAAGGTTTCAAATTCCCCTTGGTGTCTGAAAAATAGACTATGACTGATCCCTTTGTGATATATCTACAAATAGGTCCTGAAGTTCGGAAGGACTTACTGCATTTATGAATGTGACAGAATTCACGCTCTTTGGCAGGATCCACTGTGTAACACCAAGGTTTCTCAGAACTGTCAGGATTACGGCAATAATTATCAGCAAGGTCTTTATCTGGGTATCTTTAAAAAATAACAGAGAAAGGAAGAATTAAAACACTATTCTCAATATTGAAAATGGATGTGCTTCATAATGTCAACATCAAAGGAAAAAGCAGATCCTCTGGTGGCTATAACTGTGGTGTTTGTTCATTGTGTCAAATTGGAAGCAGGCTTGTAAGAGGCTAATAGGTGCAATAGGAAGCTGCCTGGTGCTTTATACCAAATGAGACCAAATGAGATCCGTTTAGCTCAGTTCTGCCCATCTTAATACAATACAATACAATAGCAGAATTGGAAGGGACCTTGGAGGTCTTCTAATCCAACCCCCTGCCTAGGCAGGAAACCCTATACCATTTCAGACAAATGGCTATCCAACATCTTCTTAAAGACTTCTATATATTGTAGGTGACTCTGTTTTTTTCTTCTGGGGTTGTGGGGCCTTTTGATTTACTTAGGATCTTCTGTAGTTATTTTGTTGGTTTGTAGTGTACACTGATGCCTTGTGGTCGTAATAGTCTGTTGGTGGTTCCTGAGTTGTTTTTGATGTATGGCAGTGATATCCTTTTTACAACGGGTGTCGGTTGTGCTTTGCTGTGTTGAGTGGTCAGGTTTTTTTTTTTTTTT